AGCCACACCTACCTAAAACGGCTCGTTCTAACACGCCCCCACATACCTACGTCACTATTTGGGCGGCGTTATGCAACTCTTCCCAGATAGTGACGTAGGTATGTGGGGTGTGTTAGAACGAGCCGTTTTAGGTAGGCGTGGTTGACTCTTAACTTTTATAAAGAATATCTCTTTGGATTTGAGACTTTAGTCTTTGCAACTTTACAGATCTTCTTTATGCACCAAGAGCTTGTAACACTCCAAAGAGAAAGGAAAAATTGAAATCGCATCATATGACCCCTTTAATACTAAAATCTCAGTCTCTTTCTATTATGTGGAGGTGTCATGCTGCAGGACTAAGTAAATGAACATTGTACTCCCACATAAACATTTCTTAATTAATAGTAGGAGGTAACCTTGAAAATGCCTTTATTTACTTCCTTTTATTCCACAGGATTGGATTGGTTACAAAATTGTTAAATCTTTTTTTCTTGTCCATCCAGTTAAATGATGAAAATATAAGAGAAAATGGCTTTATTTACTAGTCACCATCATTCTGTTTAATGTAAAATGCATTTGTAAAAGCTGAAAAAATATGCAGTGATGCAATGTCTTGCATCAGAGTTGTTTGCATTAAAATACCCCACCATAAGAAGATGGATAAAACAGAGTGTGGTGGTGGAACTGTGGGAGTTGTATTTATCACAGTGGACAGGCCTGGCATCACTTCATCCCACTGTATATAAACTGAAGCATGAGCTTTCCAGGACACACACACACACACACACACACACACACACGTACATCACGAGTCAGCAGTCTCTGGCATAGAGGAGAAACAATAATGTACAGTATGTGGATAATAATGTGTTTTTTGAACCTTAAACCGCATAAACACATTTCATTGCACCAAATACACAAAATAATGTTCTTTTTAGCAACGTCATATGACCCCTTTAAGTCCAAACTTCATGTGTATGATGCAAACGTTCATCTGATAAAAGGCAACTTTTACTGTTGACAGTCACTGTTATTTTTTAAAATGCTGTTTATGGTGCAGTGAGATATTTTAAGTCCATGATCATTCCTTCTCTAGTCTTCTCCCTGAGGCTCACAGTTTCGTTTTGTGGTTGACTACACTAATAGAATTAAACTCTTCAGAACGTGGCTATCACATCGCTGCCCTTTTCTGTAATGTCCTCAAAGGCCAAAACACTCAAGACTCTTTAAATTAAATGAAAACATAGCATGAGAAGCCCATACATGCCTCTCTCTGTTTCTCTTACGGTGTTTTCCTTTTTTATTTCTTTGTCACACTTGTCAAAAATGTATTAATGTCATTGCCTTGGTTAACAAATCATTAAACCAAGTGGCATTTATTTTAAAGGCCTTAAGTGGAACTGACAGGAAAAATGATTCTGAATAAAGGTCTAGTAGAGTCCCAATTGGGTTCATATTTGTTTTTTTCCTCTAATGCAATAAACATGGTTTAAGTGTTTGCATTTTTTTGGGCCACTATACATGCATGCCTCTTTTCTGCTTGTTAAATTAGCCCTGATAACCTGTTTTTAAAGGCACAAAAATAGCAAGCACATAAGAGTCCAGGTGAAAACTCATACCCATACACTTATACAATATTGAACAATAAAAATGTCCTGTCTGGACAAGAAACTTCAGGCTAGAGCCAACCGTAACCCTTCACTGAACCCAGCTAATCTAGAGTCACATCTGCATTCTAGTGGCTCATTTTTGGATTAGTCGATGCAGAGGTTTTACAGCGCTAATCCGTATAATACAGCCTGCCAGATCTGCAGTGTTGTCTCGTATCTGCTGTCTGAAAGCAAACTAAAGCAGATTCTAGAGCTGCATTAGATGCCTGTGTCAAGACTTCAGCCTGTTCTGACAAGGAGGAACACCAGGTGTTCTGGATTCTTCACCTGTTTCGAATCCCACATTCAGAGCTAACTGTGATGTGAATATTTATTAGATTGTTATACTTTTTAGACTCATGTGATCATCACATTGCTGAGACAAAAGAAAATTAATCCGACTTTAAATGAAGAGTTCAGGTGACGGACCTGAACACTTCAGAATTTGGCAACAAACCTAAATGCATCACATAAATGGCCATGAGCCAGACAGACACGAGTCAAAGCTCATTATAAATGCCACACACAAACACCTCACCGCTGCTGTTTTTTGCTTTATGATTTTATTCACACACTACTGTACGCACACTTATCTCTTTGTGTAAATCCAGAAGTGCTGTTTAAAAAGTTAAAGCACAGAGATCATAAGGGCAGTTTATGTTTGTGTGATTCTGCTACATATGTGCAGAATCATTTGTATATTTATGTATGTACGATTTTTAGCTTTGTAGATTCGGTGTGGTTTTGTCATCACTGAAGCCTCTAAACAATTTACTTGACATTCCATCTCACCCTTTACCTATGCTGAGTTTCTATATCTTCACTCTGCAGAAATGACAGGAATGCTCTCATGCTTGTGTCCCAACACCTGTTGAGTAGGAGGTATATTTGCATATTGTGCATGAAGTTGAACTGATGGAATACTTTGAAGGATTTTCTTTTCATACTCCAAATTATATACAATAGTTCTGGTCCTGGTTGCCGATTGGCATTTCAGTAAAGCACTTTAGGCATATTGTGATTTATGTATAATTATGGTTGTGTATAGCGTGTGTGTGTGTGATACACTGTTGTTCAAAAGTTTGGGATCAGTTAGATTTTTTTAATGGAGTTTTTTTTTAATGGAGTCTCTTATGCTCTTCAAGTCTGTATTTATTTGATCAAACAAAAAGAAAATACAGTAATATTGTGAAATATTATTGGAATTTCTAATATTGGTTTCCTATTTTAATTTAAAATATAACTTATTTCTGTGACGCAGCGCTTAATTTCCATCAGCCATTACTCCAGTCTTTAGTATCACATTTATTCAAAATAGAAATCTTTTCTAACAATATAAGTCTTCACTATCACCTTTTATCCATTTAACACATCCTTGCTGAATAAAAGTATTCATTTCTTTGAAAAAAGAAAGAAAAATGTACTGACCCCAAACTTTGACTACATTTTTACAAACCCCGCTACTTTGAATAGTAGTGTATATTGTAACACAAAATTTCTATTTTGAATAAACACTGTTCTTTTTAACTTTTTATTTATCAAAGAATCCTGAAAAATAGTATCACAGGTCCCAAAAAATATTAAGCAGCACAACTGTTTCCAACATTGATTATAAATCAGCATATTAGAATGATTTCTGAAGGATCATGTGACACAGAAGACTGGAGTAATGATGCTGAAAATTCAGCTCTGCTTCACAGGAATACATTATATTTTAAAGTATATTAAAATAGAAAACTATTATTTTAAATTGCAATAATATTTCACAAAATTACATTTTTTTTTCTGTATTTTTGATCAAATAAATGATGAGCCTTTTATGAGCATAAGAAACTTCTTTAAAAAACATTAAAATCGTATGTATGCATGTATGTATATAAATATATAATAATAATAATAATAATAATAATAATAAAGCTGCAAGTTTTGTAACTTTAAATGTCTTTACTGTCACAAATGAATATAATGCATCCTTGCTGTATAAAAGTAGTAATTTCTTTAAAAAACAAAAACACTGACCATAAACTTTAAAACGGTCGGTATGTTTGTTTATTTATTTATTTTGCGGTTGCATTTAAAATCCACTTGGCTCATGCCACTTCTGATAACAATAATAGTAAATAATTTAATAATAAGAGGCGTTCAACTGTTCAGTAGCTAAATAAATCAGGAAAACATCACAGTGATGCATTATAATGTTAAATTATGCTCTCTCTTTGTCCCTGTCTCTCTAGTGCTGTTGCATGAGGAGGTGGTGCGTCTGCAGGAGGAGGTGTCGGTGCTGAAGCAGGTCAGGGAGATGTTGAATCGTGAGCTGGAGGAGACAGGAGGAGGCTGCTCTGTGGAGCTGCTGTCTGTTTCACAGCTCCGCGTGCAGCTAACACAGAAAGAGCAGGAGCTGGACAGAGCAAAGGAGGCATTGCAAGGTAGGAAATGAATATCATGAGCCTGAGCTTTCACCCCCAGCTCTCAGCCAGCGCTAGACCTGTCATTTTGAAATAAACAACAGACTTACAAGCCCAAACCCCTTGCTCAGTGAAAACAAATACGGTGTTAATAAATATTATGGAAAGAGTGCTTGATTAGTTTATTGATTTCATAATGATGGATTTATTTTTGGCACATTTTAGTGTCATTTACAATCGATTTACTATATTATATACCTATATGTTTATATGAGTCTCAGACAAGTCATTTGATCTAGTATCATGAACACTTTTGAGGACCTGAAGGTGTTTTGACTGCACCATTTTAAATCTGCAGAGACTTCCTCAAAACGATTTGGACCTAGTCTCTCCTCCTCCTTTATTTTGTCCTGTGGCTCATTTTTCAGCTCTGGAGCTGTGAAATGCAGAAGTAATCAGAACAGCACAGACCACAAAACTGGCATAATATTCTCCATGTTTAGGTGTCGAGGGATTCTGCTGTCCTTGGTCTGACTTTGGCTTGAAATCTACTTTCTCCCGTGACCCTCAATACCCAGTGTGAGAGTAACGCTGGGATAGATGTTCTTTTGTTTCACTTGCTAGATGAGGGAGAGGTAAACTGTTATTCTGAACATTATTTGCACGTAAAAAAGCTTTGCATTGTGGGCGCTGTCTTCGGTGCTCATTTGAACAGCAACTTTACCCCAGTGCTGAATGTGCGGCAAAAAAAGCCTTCTCATATCACCCTCTGCAGTATTTGGTGAAGGCCTACTGAAATCATTAATGAAAATTTTTATTTTGAAACAACCATTGTAAGTTTCTGCTATAGAAATCCATTTCAGTAAAAGATGGAAGGATAACGAAAACTCAAATAACTAATAATGTGATTTGTGTGTGAGCTAATGGAAGAGGAACATCCAATATTTAATTAAGCACAGCTTGGGGGGGAATCGAAGAGCTCTTGATCTTCCAGGATTTACTGATCTGAATGTTCACTGCTATTCACAATCTCTCTCCACCTCCTACCAGGTGTTCCTGTGTGTGTGTGTGTGTGTGTGAAAGGCTTTTTGTGTGTTCCGTTTGGCTCCTGTATAATGAGTCTTTAAGTGGTGGGTGAATGGGACTCAATGTCCTTGGAAAACACGAGCTGCAATTTGCAAGTCAGAGCAGAGGCTACAAACAACCTAAAACAGTCAATTACTGCCTCTGTTATCACACAGTGTTAACCACAGCCAGCTGGAGAGAGAGACACCCTGGAAGAGGAAAAAGAGGGAGCGAGAGAGGGATTGGTGTGTGAAAATGGACATCTTGGACATCAAAAGAATGATAGTAATGTGTAAATGGGAATGGTTATATGCAAATTAAACCGTATTATGTATTTAAATTGATGGAGACCACAATCCGAATAGCACATGAAAATTATTTCAAATGCAGAACATTTTTAAGGTGTAATATTACTACTACATATATGCAATGAGAGGTGAAACTCTGTAAGGTCTTTATGAATATGATTTTAATTCGTACTATTTAAAGCAGAAAAGAAGTTTGATTGTCAAGGTGGTGAAGCACTACTGATTTGTCCGGGCAAGACTAGCAGAGGAGCACAGAACCTTTATAAAACAGCATTTTAGACTGTAAAACACATTGCAAAGTTAAAACGAGTATTTTCATTTTCTGTAGAGAGAATAATTATTGCTTATTTTGTTTTCTCTTATTTTATTTTGGTATGTTTTCTTTAATTATTGGTGCTTGCTAAGTATCAGCTAAGGATTGGTGTTGCTTATACTCAAGGTTATGGTTTGTTATAAACCCGTAACTCGTATGTATTAAACTTTTGTGCTATGGACATAAATGATACCTATAATCATGTGGCTTGAGAAAGTACACTACCTTTCAAATGTTTCGGGTTGGTTAAGATGTCTCTTTGCTCACCAAGGCTACATTTATTTGATCGAAAATACAGTATTATACTGTGAAGTATATTATATTGTGAAATATTATTACAATTGAAAGTAAATGACTTCTGTTTTAATATATTTTAAAGTGTACTTTATTCCTGTGACAGTAAAGCTGAATTTTCATTACTCCAGTCTTTAGTGTCACATGAACCTTCAGAAATCATTCTAATATGTTGATTTCATGTTCAAGAATTATATATACATTTTTACAGCCATTTTTTATCTACAGTGTATCCGTTTCTTTGCCTCTCTTTTTCCCCTAGCAATGAAGGCAGACAGGAAGCGTTTGAGGTTGGAGAGAACTGATCTGGTGAATCAGATGCAGCAGCTCTACACAACACTGGAGAGCCGTGAGGAGCAGCTACGGGACTTCATACGCAACTATGAGCAACACCGAAAAGTATTTTACTCGCATACATGCATATCTCATGCATTCATACTAGCACAACAACTTTAAACATGCATAAATTCCCACTTACACACATGCTTCAGTATATTTAAACACACACGTCTTATTTATGTGTTGCAGGAGAGTGAGGATGCAGTGAGAGTTCTGGCAAGGGAAAAAGATTTGTTAGAACGGGAGAAGTGGGACCTACGCCGACAAACCAAAGAGGCCTCAGAACATGCAAGTGCACTCCGATCTGCACTGGACCTGAAAGAGAACAGGATCAAGGAGCTGGAGGCTGAACTGACTATGGTGAGATGCACAGAGTGTAGAAAAGCAGGGCATCCTACTTTTTGTCTTCTAAGTGGATGAGTGAGTCTAGAGATATTTGAAGTGTTCGTCTTGTTTACAGTGTCTTCATGTGTCTTCAAATGATCTGTAAACTGAGTAGCTCAAAAATGTCAGTGTTGGGTTGTTTGTGTGTGTGCTTTTGTTTATGTGTGTGTTTCTTTAACAGATGAGTAGCTTTATGGCTCAGAAACTAGAGAGTCGCGTGTTTGTTCGATCTCCAGAAAGACCAGCCTCACCCAAAACAGTGTCGGTAAGATCAGCCAGGCCTGTCACTCAAACCCAAGCCCCTCTTTGATTGGCCTGCAGTGTTGACTCCCCATCTGATATGCACAATTTGATTGGTTGCACGTATATTTTGTTTTGAGAACAAACTCGTTGTGTATATGGAATGGAAAAAGCATGTGCGGTTCTGTTCCTTCACTGTGAGCGGGAATGTTCTTCTCTGCATGCTCGTTTTGTAGAATGTTTAGGAGCTAGCTTGGGAGCCATTCTAAACCAATGATAATGGATAATGTGGTGGTGGTGGTGTTCTTTTTGACTTATTTTCTGGCATGACTGTGGCTTGAAACGATTTTGAACTAGGCCCAACATGGAATCTGCAGTTTTTCAGCATTTTCTGCACCGATTACATATCACACACACACACACACACACACACACACACACATTACACTTACAGCAATGACCTGTCCATTTAAAGATCTCAACCAGAAAGCTGGGAATTACTTATGCTAAATGAGTTCAAATCAGCCTGCTAATTCTCCTAATGTTTGTGTCTGTTAGCACTGAAAGCATCACCGTGTGTGTGCGATGCTGACGGCATCAGCATGATGTCATCAGCCGCAGCCAGGATCAGTCCGTGTCACTCTAAACAACCGTCAGTCATCTCAGACGCCTCGGTGATGGAGGGAGAGAGATCCTCAACGCCATCAGATTCACCGCGACACAGAGCACACTCCCTCTGCAATGTAAGACACACACACACACACAGCATTCCACTCACAGAGACACTCTTTGCATTGCAAAACACATACACAAATGCACAAGTGTAGTACAGTAGTGTGGCATGCTACTGTTTACCTGACACCTAAACCTCAATACATTTACATGCACATTTACATGTACTTATTTAGCAGACTCTGTTATCCATAGTGACTTACAAATGAGAAACGTGTAAAAATTTGTCACAGTCAACAATATTCATAGTATACTATATTAAACAATATTTGTAAGATTATTAAATGGCTAAATTAGGAAGCATGCTAGAGCAGATGTAAAATGCTGAAGTTTTTTTTATTGTGCATGCCTAGATGTGGTGGTGGTGGTGTTCTTTTTGACTTATTTTCTGGCATGACTGTGGCTTGAAACGATTTTGAACTAGGCCCAACATGGAATCTGCAGTTTTTCAGCATTTTCTGCACCGATTACATATATACACTGCCGTTCAAAAGTTTGGGATCAGTACGATTTTTAATGTTTTTAAAAAAAGTTTCTTATGCTTATCAAGGCTGTATCTATTTGATCAAAAATACAGAAAACAAATTTAATTTTGTGAAATATTATTGCAATTTAAAATGTTTTCTATTTTAATACACTTTAAAATATAATTTATTCATGTAAAGCAGAGCTGAATTTTCAGCATCATTACTGACCAATGACCAGTCTTCTGTGTCAAATGTTCCTTCAGAAATCATTCTAATATGCTGATTTATAATCAATGTTGGAAACATGTTGGTTGCTTAATATTTTTGGGACCTGTGATGCTTTTTTTCAGGATTCTTTGATAAATAAAAAGTTAAAAAGAACAGTGTTTATTCAAAATAGAACATTTATGTTACAATATACACTACTATTCAAAAGTTTGGGGTCAGTACATGTTTTCTTTCTTTTTTTTTAAAAGAAATTAATACTTTTATTCAGCAAGGATGTGTTAAATGGATAAAAAGTGATGGTAAAGACTTTTATTGCTAGAAAAGATTTATATTTTTAATAAATGTTCTTTTTAACTTTTTATTAGCCTAATCAAAGAATCAAAACAGCACAA